GATAAAATAAACTAGCGGAAAAGAATTTGATAAGTATCAAGTGTAAAGAGCTCTGAAAGACAGGAGGCCACACACCAAATGGTCCATAACTTCCAGACCACTAAGTCGATTTTGATCAAATTTATAGACTGGACACGGGACAGTATATTGAACTGTATATTTATTATACCATATACAGTATGTATCTATGACATCGGATCACGTGTCATTAATTTAACCGATTATTATGACATCTATAAAAATAATGACCCCGTGATGACCCTTACAACATTCATTTCACTCTCCTCTTTACTTCCACATCTTCTTTTCTTCTTCCTTGCATCCTCATCACCTGATCTCTCATCACCTTCTCATCCGCATCAAGTGATGAGGATGCTGATTAGGATTTTCATTGAATTTTTGATAAAATTGGGAAAAATTCTTTAATTTTAGCAATTTTTATGCTATAAAAAGTGTACGCGAAAATTAGCTTAATTTTGGATTAGAGATAATGCAAAATTAATCCTGATGGGTTATTCAGTGTTATTAATTAATTTTTCTGTATAATTTAGTGGTAAATATTCTTGGAATGTTGAGGATTATTTAATTGTAACGTCGTAAACTCGAATCGGATTAGGATAAATCAACAGTTAACCCGTGTTTAATGCTCAATAAATCCGAAATTAATCGAGTTTAACAGCAATTAAACTGCTCAACTTACGATAAGTCACGATTATCTTCGAATTTTATAAATAATTTACGGATAATCTTTCTAAAAAAACAATTACACAAATTAATACGGATTAACTTAATCCAATTTATAGATTTAAAATNCTTTATCATTATAATTGATGCTCCTTGTTTAATACGTTCGAATCAATTATATATATATATATCAATTAATTTCATAAAGGTAATTACGTGATTTGATTTAATTTAAATAATATATTTAATTTTAAAAATGATACTAGTTTAAGTAAAGCTTAAAATTTGGAGAGGTAATTGGAGATATTCGTCGTTTCAGGAGCAAATTTTCTAAATTACTGCATGGATTTAATCAGTGTAAGTGCGTAAAATTCTAAAAAGTATGTTACTAGAGGTCCTTTGAATTTCAAAAAATTACATTTGTTAATTTATATTAAAATTAGAACAAGTTACTTTGAGTTACATAAGATTCCAACTCGATCTGAATAAATAGAGGCCTATATTTCGAAGATACTCTCGAATGTAACTGAGTTACGCTGTTATAACTTCAACAGCGTAACTTAAAATAAGTTAATGTATACTTCATACAGTTTAATTTTGTTATAAGGTAGTTTAGAGTTGGATCTTTCGATAGCATTTTTCTAAATTTTGTTACTTAATAATGAACGTAACTGAGCCATTCAGTTAGCTGTGTAACGAAGTAAACGGTTACGTTTAACAGTACTAAGTTACGTTAAACACTTAACAAATGTTCTTTTTAATTGTGTAAAATATGCGTAAGCTGATTTTAAATTAATATTAGATACGGTTAATTAGGTTCTGTTATACGTCTTGTTCGATCGAGTGACTAAGTTACGTTGCTGTGTTGATTTTTGAGTTACACTTCTTATAATTGTAGTAAAATTTACGTTAAATTATTAAATTAAAGTTAATTTAGTGTTAAAAAGTAATATTACTTTTATTAAGTCAGTAGATTCAGATGAAGAGGGATGAGGAGGATCACGTTGAGTTATCTTCTATGAGATTTCATGGAAGTTAGTTTGGTTATAGTTAATATTATATCTACTTAAATCGAATTCTTTTATGTTAAATTTTATTAAATTTACCCTGTGATGAAGTAGATTATGCTGTGTTGAAGTAGGTTGTCAGATCGTGTTGCATCGAATTAGATTATGTTTCGTTCGGTTTTATTAAATGAAGTAGGTTATGTTATAGTAAATTGAAGTAAACTCAATTGGGGGTTAGCCCAATTGAATTAGGGCGAATTAAGTTAAATAAATGTGTTTTATATAGTATCATAAAACGCTTTATATTAACGTAAATAGCATTGAGTCGGTGTTATCTAATGAGATTTAACTATTCAGTTTGGTTTGTTTCAATTGTGTTGAGTTGATTTAAATTATGTAGATGTGTATTCTGTGTTGCTATAACGTGAAATCCCTACCTAATTAAACTCAAATTCCCTTCCTAATTTAAATCCCAACCTAATTAATTTATTAATCTTCCTTATAATTCTCTATAAAGGAATGAATATCCCAATATCTTTAACCTAATTAAAATATTCTAAATAACAATTTATCTACATCGCTTTAATCATATCTTTGATTTGTAATAATTTTTCAACGTCGTATAATTGATAAACGTTTTTTAAGTAGTTAATTTCAATTAATATACATTCTGAAGCAGATGGCTGTCGATGAGCATCGTTTTAAACATATGAATTCCCACTGCATGCCTCATATTTAGGCACCTTAATCCTATAATTCATATAATATATTTTCAGAATTTCAACCTGTTTCTATGAACCTAAATTTAGTCGATACGTGTCACTTTTGGTAAGTCAATTGATAATTTAGACACTCTTTAAGCACTGTACTCCAGTCGTGACATTTTAAAACCTCAACTCAAAGTCTGCATCATTTTTAAACTAGTTTCTCATATAAAATACATTTTTAGACCTCGTAATTTAGATTTTATACATTTTTATAACACATTTCAACTTTTAAATTCTTAGTTATCTCAATTGATAATTGACATGCATCATTTAAGAACCTCAACTCTACTCATCCAAGTTGAACCCTTAAAGTGATGGCTTTAAGGCCCTACTTTGAGGTTTTAAAGCCCTAATGCCCTAGTTCGAGCATATTTTTAGATACTTTGACTCATAATTTATACATATTTTTATAAAAATATCAACTCAAAACTGGTAAACCTCATTTTTAGACACCTCAACTTGTAGTCTATATGCATCATTTTATAAACTTACTAAGCCGCATTTAAGCATCTCGAATTATAATTTATACACATTCTTGTAAGAATATTAAATTATAATTGATAAATTTTTTTTATGCATCTAAACTCCGCGTATACACACACATCCTTTCAGTTCTGAGCTATAATAAACACATCAACTCACAGCAATATTAAGCCAAACATCCCATAATTATTACTCATGTTTAAGCACTTTAACACATAGAAAATTTATATTTTTATAAGCAATAATTAAATAAAGGAAGAACTTATTAAACGAGAGCAAAAATTATAATTAGAATGATTATAATTTGCAAACAAATCAACTAAAATTAATCACTTCCTAATGATATTTAGTTAATTATAATAATCAGATAAGATATTAAATTCGTTCACGATACATTGTTTCTATTGTTTGGAAGGGAACAAAGTATATTCTCGAGTATACACAGTGAATATTTTATAGATTCCACTTGTATTATTGACTTGTTATATTTATATATAACGCTTACAATAAAATATTAAAAATGATATTTGCAATCTGTTGATTTTTTCCTGGATTTTTCCTGAATCGAAGAACAATTTTTTTCCTTAAATATTAACAATTTAAATTATATATTTTCTTAACATTTAAAAATCTTTAGTTTAGCGTAATTAGCAATTGTTATTTTTCATTTTCTTAAGAATTATACAAGCCTAAACTTTATAAAATAAAAGTATGCAGAGTTCTATAGGGAACTGGTTCTAAACATCAGATCCTGGATATAGGATTCTAGAATTTTATGTATATAAGAGTCTCATATAGAGCCTTCTACTTATAAAATTACAAAATCCTGTATAGAACCTATAGAGGATAAAATACAAGTTCCACTTATATTCTATCCTCAGTAGGTTTTACATAGGTTCTCTAACAATTTAAAGTGTAAATTTTCTTTATATTTTACAGTAAAAAATCCAATTTATCAAGACTGATAAGTTTTATTTTGTGTTTTCTTAATAATTATACAAACTAAAGCACTATACATACATATAGACAATATAGAACTAGTAAGGCTTACGATAGATTTTAGATATCAGATCCTATACAGACTCATGTATAGAAATCTATACAAAATTATAAACAGTATATAGCCTTTGATAAATATCTAGAAATTTAAACTACAGATTTTAATATTCTATATTAAATAATTTAATTTATTATAATTAACAAGCACTATACAAATATATATGGATAAGTTCTATATACTAGACTCTGTAAGGTTTTAATATAGAATTCCGCACAAAATTCTAGCTTCTTGATTAGAATGTAAAGAGTACAGAATGTAGGCTCCATATATAAAGTTCTATACAATATTTTATATCTAATTTAATTTATTTTAACTTGTTTTTACTTTGAAATTATGGTCGGAGGATAGAAAATTGCGTCGTCTAAATGGAGCCATTTTGGAATTTTATTATTTTAAGCATAAATATCTTCGTGTTCTGCATGTTTTATAATCATTATAATTGGTAAATTAAAAGGTTTTTATTATAATTTTTAATAATTTTCTTATTTTAAATATGGTATTTGAAATAATTTTCTTAAAAATCTTAAGAGTGGGTCATTAATTTTGTCGCGTTATACTTTAATTATGAGGACAATTTAGAGAAGTTTAAACTGTTGAAAACATTTTTAGTTCAATCTAAGGAGTGATTTACTTTAGAAAAATGATTTTATTAGAGTTTAAGCGGAGAAAAATACTCTAACATTACATTAAATTATACTGAAACTCCGGATCTTAAGGTCTGTAACTATCTACAATTACACTAGAAGTATGTAGAGTTGTATAGGGAAAATAGGAAAATGTAGAGGTTCTAGATATCAAGTATTAAAATATATATACAGCTCTATTTAGAATTCCAGAACCTTGTATAGAGCCTGTAGAAGATAGAGTATAGGTTCTACTTACATTCCTGTAGGTTCTATATAAGCTTCCTTCACGCTTAAACTCTATTAAATTGGAGAAAATAATTATAATATTTTAAATTAAAACATTCCTTTTATTGATTATTTAAAATTTTTCCAGGTTATATTCAGGATTTGCTACCAAATTTAACCGTTTTGAGCCACGAAGAGAATCATGTCTACGAGAAAGAATTGGATCTCAGCAACAAAACCTATCAAACAGACTCAGTTATCAAAGGACCTTATCCGAACCATCCAGATATGTCAAATGGGGTTTCCATATGCAATCACGTGATAGATCCATCTAGTCCCATTGACTCTGTAAACGACAGCAACAACCCAATTCACGTATTCACCAATGGCGTTACCGTAAGTTATACATACGATGCTTTCTTCATAAGTGACGGTCGATCTAGAAGAAGGAATGGTTTAGGGGTACAAGACAGCGAAAGGCCACGGTACACCTGCACCGAATGTGGTAAACACTACGCTACTTCTTCCAACCTGTCCAGACACAAACAAACCCACCGAAGTCCCGATTCACAATTGGCAAAAAAGTGCCCAACCTGTGGTAAAGTGTACGTTAGCATGCCTGCTCTATCCATGCACGTTTTGACTCATAACCTCAACCATAAGTGTAACGTATGCGGGAAAGCATTCTCCAGGCCATGGCTCCTTCAGGGTCACATGAGGTCACACACTGGCGAGAAACCATTCGGATGTGCTCACTGTGGTAAAGCATTCGCAGATCGCTCCAACTTGAGGGCCCATATGCAGACACATTCGTCATTCAAACACTTTAGATGCCAGCGATGCAATAAATCATTTGCACTTAAATCCTATCTGAACAAACATTACGAATCGTCTTGTTTTAAAGATTCTATCTCACCCAACGAGCAATAATCTTAGAGAAAGTAAAGAGCGTAATAACAATATTTCTACCTCTCAAACAATCTTGCAAAATTTACATCGTCTGCAAGATTTAAAACGAAGAAAAAACACAAATAAATGAACAAAAAAAAATAGCTTCAACTCCTTATTTTTAAATGAAGAAATGATTAAAATTCCCTCGTTGATAGAGGAAATTTGGCTGGGTTCTAGTGCAATACGGTTACAGAAGGGTCAAAAATTGTAAAGATGTAATAAGCCCTTAATAATTTACATCATAAAAATATTGCTAAAACGACGCATCGAATAGTCAACGAAAGCAATAAATTCCCATTTTTATTAATTAATAGTTATATATATAAAATATATTTAAGAAAAAAAAATACACAAAAAAACACATACTTCGCCTGTTATTTCTATAGTTAGAATGCGATATTTTATAGTAGTTCCTATAAGAATTTTCTCTAGAAAAAAATTAATTAACCTTAAGAAAAACCTTAAAAACCACACACATACACATACACATACACAAACAAACAATGCTTTAAATCAGCAATAAGTAAAAAGAGCAATAAAGAAAACAATGCAAATTGCGTCGATAATAAGTGCTCAGTTATGGACCACGACACACGAAAATTAGTTGATAGATTTTCATTCTTGTAGGTAGAATACCTACCCTTAACATATATATATTTCTACAAACATTTAGTGTAGCAATACAACACACTTGAGTGTGTACAAACAACGTGTACAAGCAATAATTATAATATAAAAAAAAAANTTCCAAAAATAAGATTTAAAATTAAATTATTTGACAGTAAACTATATATATATATAAATTACGTGCTTATATATTATCATAAAAGAATTAAACGATTGTTTATGTTTTTGATTTATTTTATATAGAACAATACTCAATATGATACTTCAATTGCAGCTAAGTTTTGTACTGATTACATATACTAGATTTCTATTTTACAATCACCTTGACGGTAAGTATTTTTCTGTATATTTTTACTAAAATATCCCTTAACTTTTATCGGAGATGCACCACATGCGTTAGTAAAGTTGTCTTTTTTTTTATTTTAAATATGATACTTCAATTGCAGCTAAGTTTTGTACTGATTACATATACTAGATTTCTATTTTACAATCACCTTGACGGTAATTATTTTTCTGTATATTTTTACGAAAATATCCCTTAACTTTTATCGGAGATGCACCACATGCGTTAGTAAAGTTGTCTTTTTTTTATTTTAAGTTTGATTCTAGAAATTTTGGGAGGGAGAATACGTATATAAATATTAGTGAAGAAATACTTCACCCACCTGAAATACCTTCAACAAGTTAGAAGTTTACCCTCGTCTTTTGGGTCAATAGAAGTTCCGTTCATACCCCGATTGTTTGTCCAACTTCAGCCTTGCGATGTTTGCCAGGAAAGGACTTCCCAATTTCTACAGTTTGTTGCTTTTTTCTTTTGTTGATCGCTACAATTAAGGAACAGAACGTTTTCTATCTAAACTACCGTGGGTGGACTTGATGAGGGGAGGGTTGAAAGGACAGGAGGGGAAGAAAGCGCCATGCTATGCGAGAGAATCGGATCGACTGGTATTGCCGGGAAGCTAAACACGCAGGCGCGGGCTGCGATCGAATAAAATTTGAATGGCGAGTGATGGGGAGGACGAGGAGAACCTATATAAGGAAGGTAGAAGTCCAGCGATCGGTATACTGTACATAGCTAGCAAGGGAAGCGCGCTTCAGGCTGCGCCATGTTATTACGATTGTGGCACACGTGATGATTGGTTTAGTGAAGATCGTTTAACAGGTTGATACCCAGGACTTTTTTCCGACCCCGTTTACACGTTTTTTTGATAGCCATGCCGCGTTCGTTTTTGGTAAAAAAGGGTAAGAATCCTGTTGACCACAGATGGACTTATAGAGAACCGTCGAGTCCGACTGAAGCTGCAACAGCACCAAGTCCCCCGCCTCCATCCCATTGTCTCACCGTCCGATACACAAATGGTAAGTCAAGTTACCTATAAATAAAGATGGGTCTTTATTTTCTTAAAAAAAAGAGAAGAAAAAGAGGAAAAAGAAAACATAAAATTACTTTACGACGCGTCACACAATCTCAAAAAGTATAAGTCCCAAAATGGTGGATGTTGCATGCACACCTTCATCTCATACAACCTCCGATTTAGTTAACGTTTATTAACTGTTTGATTAATTATTTTAACACGTGTTTAGGATAATTTTCGTTTAAAATCTGGAAAGAAATAGCTCTTTATTTTTTTATGTTTTATTTTTATTTTTTAAGAGGCCACAAATTGGTGATGGGTACTCTAAGGCTTCTCTACTAACACAAAATTCCTAGAGCTTAGTCTTTTGAAAAAGGGAAGTGTGACATACCCATTCTTCTATAGCATTTTCGTTGTCGGCCACCACTACTTGTTAGCGAAGCATTAACGCGTCTCTGGACAGACAGCTCAACAGTCAAGTTAATCCCTTTAATCAGCACAGGAGAAGCCTTCTCCCCAACCTTCCCTCAACTGTTGCACGCACAATGTGGTCGATCGGGGACGGTGTCAAAACAGTAGGGGGAGAGAAAAAGAGAAGGGGGATTAAGCCTGTACGGGGAAGAAGAAGAAGAAGAAGGAACGAGGATGAGGAGGAAGAGGAGGAGGAGGAGGGATAAAAAACCATTTCAGTATGTCCCAATGTGAAAACTCGTTAGGTGTGACGCGGATCTAATGGAGAGTTTCTCGCGGACATAGTGATCACCTCGGGCTCTATCTCGCTCTTCCTGGTTCCTACTCTCTAAAAATACAAGACTACATTGTCTGTAACAGCTGCCACCTTCTTGACAATAGCCTGAGGGCAGTGTCGACTTCGGTAGGTGGTAGAAGACGGGGGGATGGAAAAGACAAAACGGTTTCCATCCTCCCTTCCACTCCTTTTGTAGGGGAAAGGGGAGAAGTTTATTACACGCACGCGCATTTTATGGCGTTATAAAGATGAACACGGACTTTCCGTTCAGAAACTGTTATCGTTGGAAACTGTTATTATCAACTTCAGTTTGTCATCTCTGAGTGGTTGCCCCAGGAATTCCTGCTTCCCTGTAGGTGTTCTAAGTCATACCAAACTGATGGATTTAAAAGAGTTCTTACTATATAGGAATTGTCGTATAGAAAATTTCCTTTGGGTATAGATATAAATAGGAATATTTATTTACCTGCTCTGTTAAAAATTTCAGGATTATGTTGCGATTTTGTAGTTAGAAACTCTTCAAACGAATTTAGGATTTTAAACATAACTTCGTTTAAATTTTATTAAAAAATTTTAATCATTTTTTAATGTCCTGTCTTATTTTATAACATAAAAGTTAAGAAATTTTCACTAAAATTCAGCATTCATGCGAGTTTAAATATCGCATATTCAGTCAAGAAAATTTGATCTTCAGCATCGTTTATCCTTCCTCCATTAATCTTAACATTTACTAGAGGATTTAGAAATTATATATACATACACAATTACATAAAATAGAGTGAAGTTAAGGGATATATCTGCAATATTTCTAGAAGAAAAAGAAATGATTCTAAATAAGTTACGGGATATTAAATCAAAATAAAATTTATGTATCGAGCAAGAAAAATAAATCTGTACTCTCTTACTGTCATCTGAGTTGCATGAAAAATAGTCATCTCAAAAGCTTTCTTTTACCAGTCATCTATGGAAAAGTCAGGTAGACTATATCGGTATTCGATACTGCCAGGTGTGAGAAGTGCCATTTTTCGATCTCACCAGTCAGTCATAATCTTGGATTTTACGGGCACACCTGTTCCTATATTGTTACGGATATTTGTCATGCTGCTATGTTGTCTTCTAATACGTGTACATAAGAGGTACACCTGTAACTTATAACTACGGCTTTATGAAAATGTGCAAGGTTTAATAATCGAAAGTTTTATGTGCTTTTAGTTTATTTACAGTCTTTTCTAACGTTTTTCTTCGAAAAAACTAAAATAAAATATGTTTAAAAATTAATATCCAAGCTTGGTTAATGTTAAAAATTTCATCGTAATTAATAAACTCTACTTTGTTTTCGATGATGTTTAATCGATGATAAAAATGTTTTAAATGATTATATACAAAATTATGANTTTGTTTTTTTTTGGTAGAATTATGTTTCTAAACAGGGATACAAGGAGGAGACACGTGTGGATAGAAAAAGCAGGATTTTGTTTCGTTCGGTTTCTCTCGTGTTCACGGCCACTGCACACCACAGGATATCCGGTTTTAGAGGAAGTCTGTATTGTCGGACATCCGTCCGTCTTCCTTCTATATAGCGCAGATAGCCAAACAGTGCGAACGGGGGGAGGCGGGGGGAGGCAAGAAGCGGAAATGGATCTCGATTCTACCGGCGCAGATAGAGAGAGGAGTTAGTCGGTCATCCAGTAGACCCACAAATCCATCCGCTCAAATGCATCACTCCGTAAAGGAGAGTGAAGATGGAGAAGAGATTCGAAGAAGGAAACTATCCTCCTCCTCCTCCGCCCCCACAAAAAGCTCGTTTTATAAATAATATTACGTCCTATTGTTTTAATTAGGATGAGGAAGAGGAGGAGTTTAAGTTACGTACCGCGTGACTGACAGACGGGGGAGTTAATCTACGTGAAATTCGAAGGATGAAATAAATAAGAAGCGCTAATAAAAACGTTGTTTTCCGTTTAGATAACGGACAGGCACACAAGAACTTAGAGTACATTAGCGCTTTTCTTAATGGAAGAGCTCCAGATGTTTCTCAGTATCTTTCGGATCATTTTTAGTAGGATCTTCCTAATCCTGAATTGATGGAAAATTCAGTTTGGGTCGAGCAGCCCAAGGCATTTAATTACCATTAAGAGTAAAACAAAGACGGCTCTTGACTTAGAGAAAGGATAATACCTACTTAACTATCGAACGATGTACAGAAGAAGACTTAGAGAAATCGCAATCAGTCGGAAAACTTCTTTCATATGTTTTCTATTGACAATGTCTTCTCTCCTCGTCACTTTACGCTATTTTTACTCTATCCAGTTTTAATATCCGGTTGAATAATCCCTATTTTTGTCTAGATTTGACCTCCCCCTTTTTTTTGAGGAAAAATATTTTAAAATCTCTCTTCTCGAGAAGAGCATCCTCCTTCGTTAAACGTAAGAATAGCTCGAAAAATACCGTAAAAATGTAGCATTTCTGTGCAGAAAATCGTCGATAATTGCTGAAATTTCGTAGCAGAAAGCTGTTGATTAACAGAAAATTGCAGAATGAAATTGTTAGAATTCATAAGAATCATTAAAATCACTCAATGAATTTTGAATCATTAACGTTGGGTAGAATCATTAAGGATTAGTTTAGAATCGAATTAATTAAATATTGAGGGTATTAGA